CGACAGGGTGCAGAGGCGTTTTCTGCCAGGACCTCCTCAGCGAGTTCCGAAGACGCCAATTTCGGTCGACGCCTTCAAGGTGCTGACATTTGATGACGAGAAGTTGCAGGCGCGCACAGAAGAAGAGTATCGGCAGAGGGTCGGCTCTCTGCAGTTTGCTGCCTGCACCACTCGCCCCGACATCTCCTTCGCCTGCAGCAAACTTGCGTCTGGTCAAACGATTCGAAGCGATCAACATTGGAGGGAGCTCGACCGCTGCATTGCGTACCTTGTTGGGACGCGCGATGTTGCTCTCGAGTTCGGCGGAGGAAATGGAGAGATGCGTCTCGTCGGCTTCGCAGATGCAGACGATGCAGGAGACAAGCAGAATCGCAGCAGCACGGGTGGCTACATTTTCACTCTCGGTGGAGCTGCAATTTCATGGGCAAGTCAGAGGATCAGGTGCATCACTCTCTCTTCTACGGAATCGGAATACATCGCTGCAGTGGAGTCTGGAAAGGAAGCTCGAAAGCTTCGTTATCTGATGGCAGAATTTCGCATGCTCGACGAGACGTCACCAACGATCATCCACGTCGACAACCAATCTGCGATTTCTGTGTCTGAAAAAATGGGGCTGAAGGGAAAGCTGAAACACATGGAGCGGCGCTACATGTGGCTGCAGAGCCTGGTGAAACGTCGCAAGCTGAAGCTGCAGTACATCTCGACGACCGAGCAGCCGGCAGATTACTTGACGAAAGCACTACATTTCCCTGCGTTCAACAAGTGCTTTGCAAAAGTTGGCCAAGTAAGGCTTTCGACGAAGGGGAGTTGCGCAGAGAGTCCTCTCGACGAGGAATAGGTGCCATGACCTTTTCATGGCTGGTGCGGTGATGGTGTGTGCGAATTGCAGACTTCTGCAATTCTTGTGTGTTTCTTTTCTGCATGTTTTCTTTCTTTCTGTTCTGCTCTGGTGTGTGGTGTAGACGGGTCAATTTTCTTCTCTGCGACGACCAAGCATGATCAGTGCAGGGCAGTGTTGAGTGTGCACTGACCCTGCAGACTGGGTCGTCACTTTCTGCGGGGGAGGGGAGAAATCCGCCAAAGCGAATTCTGCAGGTCAACGCGGAACTCTGCACTGCAGCAGAGTCACCTCGCAGAAGCGGAAAACAGGTTCCGCTGCAGACGAAGGCGAATCTGCCGAGCAGAACGTGGAGCTGCAGAGGGCGCATCTGCAGAAGTTCGGATCTGCAGAGGATGGCGCATCTGCAGAAGCGAAATTCTGCAGAGGACCGAATCTTTTACTGGCGTACCCCTCCGACGCGAAAGTGCGATCCTTTCGGAACTTTTGCGTGGGAATTTCGGAACATTGCATGACATTGAGAAATTGACCCCAGGGAACAGTGCGCGGAACTAGGGTGTTCAATCTGGGGCGAAACTGAACCACCTGCACAGAATGAACCTGGCGCACGTTTTCGTAACTACGAAAACGTGCGTTACAGAAGTTGTTTAAAACAACATGAACAGCAGGGCTCTTGTTATCAGACTAAATCGGTCTGATGGTCTGATTTTCAGACCTCCATTTTTGCTTTCATCTGATTTTTAAGACAATGAATTTTATTTCGTCTGATCATTAAGACAACGAGTTTTAGTTCGTCTGAAATTTCAGACCAAGTGTTATACTTCGTCTGCGATTTCAGACTGCGCGTATATTTTCGTCTGACACCGGCCCCCTCTTCCCCCCCCCCTCCCCCACCCCTCTCCCCCCAATCCCTCGCTCCTCTACCAGCCCAGCCCCCCCATTTCTCGAGTCCTTCGCTCTCTACCGGCCCAGCGGCCCCCTTTCTCGACTCGAGTCCTTCGCTCGCCCAGCCCCCCCCCCCCTTTCTCGACTCGAGTCCTTCGCTCGCACAGCCCCCCCCCCCCTTTCTCGACTCCGCTCTCTACCAGCCCAGGCCCCCCCTCGAGTCCTTCGCTCCCCACCCGAGGCCCTCTCTCCTACCCTAGCCCACCCCGATTCCATTCCCATCCCATCCCCATGTCCCTCGTCGTGTCTGCCAGCCCCCTTCCCCCTATCTCTCGCGAATTCCAACCCAGCCCTTCGCGTCAGCGCAACCCAACCCCCCCACCCGCAGTCGCTCTCGCTGCCCAATTTGCCACATGACTGTCAGCTACCGGGCTCACTGCGTCAGTGGCGTATCCAGAAACTGGTACAAAAACCAGAGAAGAGAGAAATATGCCCGACTAGGGTCATATTAGCTAAATCAGACCATGCAGAATAATTCGTCTGGAAAATCAGACAGCTCTCCACAATTCGTCTGAAAAAACAGACATTTTTTTTTTGCCCGTCTGAACGTCAGACGAAACTTTTTTTACTTTTATATTTTCAGACAGGCCCAAATCCTAGCAAGAGCCCTGCTGAACAGCTAAAACAACTACTTTTAGGTAGGTAAAATTACCAACTAAGCACGTGTTGTAATTTTCACCTGCGGACGCTGAGTTGGCAAAGCGCAGCTAAAAGTAGTCATGTAAACGTTCTTGGGCGAACGTTCTCTGCATGGTTCATTGGTTGGGTAGCTTCTATTTCACCCTTGTTGTATTCTATTTTTCAACAATTCTAGTGAATTTTCCTTGTGTGCCAAATCTATGCCTTTTTCAACACTTAGCCAATTTTCTCCTTAGTGAACAACAAAGTTTGCGTGGCTGCAGAGAAGCATTTCGTAGAGCTCCAACTCCCGTTAGAGCAGAAATCTCTGCAAGCAGAGGCGGAGCAGATCGTGCTGAATTTAATCCGGCTTTACGTAGGTGCTGTGTCTGATCCAAGCTCAGTCGTTGCAAGACGAATCCACGGTGTTTGCAGCAGTCGACGAGCTTGTGATACGATCGAGTGGAACTAAATGATCTGGCTTGTTGCGTAGAGAAATAGCAGGACGAAGAGAGTCGGGATCCGGCTATCGGCGAGGAGAGTGTGGCGTGTAACGGAGATGCGCGAAACGGGCGCGCGAGAAGCGGGAGAGAGGAGCTGGTGCCTGCCGGTTGGAAAGCGTGAGAAAGAGGTCCCCCCAAGCTAGAGGTGAGCGGCGAAGGGCGTCGTAAAGTGAGCATGGGAGGGCGACGGCAGGAGGCCATGGCTCGCCGTGCTAGATGGCGACATGAGGGAAGGCGCTGCGACGAGCAAAACAGGCATGCAGGGAAGAGGACTCCGTTGTGAGGCGCGGCACCGAAGGTTGTGCTTCGATATCGTTTTCAAACGAAGGGAACGCCGTGATTTTTCTTCCTGGCGACTAGGAAAATAGCGACAGGTAACTACATTGCGACAAGTCGTTCCTTCGCATGAGGTACTTCGGTGTGTCGTGATTTAGCTTTCCGAATTAACAATATATGTGAAACGCACTTACGCAAAGTAGCAGTCTGTCATTCGATTACGTAACGAGCCATCACTTTCGCGTATGCCTTTCCCTCCCTCCCCTCCTCGTTCACCACCACCAGCACAAGCAGCACCCGCTGATCGCGCCGCACAACGCCACAGACATGGCTTGAGGCCATTTCCAACCTCCCATTTCGTCGCTCCCCTATGGCTCTATCGTCCACCTCAGCCGTTGCGCGCCAACTCGCCGCCGCTCGCGTGTCCACATTCACCGCATCGCCACTCACTGTGTCCACATTCACTGTATCCTCCTCGCAAATCCGCACACACCACGTGCCCTCACGCAGCCCTCTAGCATCTTTTACTCCGTCCACGTCTCCTCGCGGTCCTTACGCCGCTGCTCAGCAAAGTATCCGCGTTACAAAAATCTCGGCGAATTCGCTATCGTCATCGCGGCTTGCGCGTGGCAGTCGCGGTTCAGCAGCCGCGATCAGCTTCTCCAGTCGCGCAGATCGGTCGCTGCTCTCCGCCGATAGTCGGTCGCCCTTTGCCTCTCCAGCTGGCAGGAGGGTAAGGCTATTGACTTGTGTCCTCAGAAACTAACAGAGTGTATGTGCTGGAATGGGATCCAGAATTCGTACCAGGTGATGGGTTGCAGGGGTGCGTGACAGCATGAAAACCCGTCTCTTCATTCCTCGGTCACCTTTCTGTATCATCTCTTCTTCACCCCGTGCTGACGTGCAGCTGCCAGCTCAGCGCGTAGGCATCCGAGCTGCTGAGTCAGCGCCCGGAGACAGCAGCAGCAGCGTCACCGAAAGGAGAGAAGGAAGCTTCTTAGCACGTGCAACCAGATTGCAAATAGAAGGAGGGAGCGTAGCAGAGGCGGGAGGTGGTGAAGCAGAGACAACATCGGGGGCAGGGGCAGAGGCGGCGGCAGCAGCAGCGCGCGCAGCAGCGGAGGTGAACCCGCCGAGGATGTTCTTTTCGTCTGTGAGCGTGGACCGCGCAGGGCAGCACAGGAACGACGCGACTTGGCTCAAGGAGGCTCTTGGCAAGCCAACCACCGTGGTATGGCGTGGTGTGGTGTGGTGTGGTTTGGTTTCAGGTTCGTGTAATTGCATAACTGGGATATTATTATATGGATGCTTGGAGTACATGGCACGTTTGGCAACTGGATTGGCACGATGGTGTAGAGAGCAGTGGCGCTGTGCCTATGCTCCCCTTAACCATCCTCCCATCCCCTTCACCCACTCCCATCACCCACTCGCTTCACCCTCCCCTTTCCCCCACACCTGCACGCGCCCATGAGGCCATCCCACGGAGCCATGCCATGGTCGGTCGTTGGTCAAGAATAGCCTGGCGGACCTTGCCTCGCCTGCTCACATCATCGTCAACCCCCCTGGCATCATCATCACCATCATCGTCAACCCCCCTGGCATCATCATCACCATCATCGTCACCCGACCGACGCCGCTGCTGCTTTTGTCTCTGATGGTGCTGCTGATGCTGCTGCTGCCTCCGGTTTCGTCCCCTCCCTTCACCATCCTCCCGTGCACACGCCCATCAGGTTGTTCCATGGAGCCATGGCCGGTCGTTAATCAAGGATGGTCGGGCGGTCCTTGCCACACCTGCTGACTTTACTATCAACACCATCACCATGGCACCTAACAGTGCTATTGCTGCTGATGGCGCTAATGTTCCTGGGTCTCCTGCTGCTGTTGATGGCACCACCACCACCAGCAGTGCAAGCGCCACGGGAGTGGAGCCGTTTTGCTTCCTCGGTCTCCTCGTGCCGTCCGGCCACGCTGCCTTCGCTGTCGCTGTTGAGTGCGTCCCCACCGCATTCACCCGCTGCAATGTGCTGCCATCCATGCTCGTCTGATATAGTCATTCTGATCCGGCCAGGCTGTCCCAATCTCGCTTATCCTGCCTGCGCTTCTTTTCTCAATCCCTTTTTCACTCTCCAGCTCACCGTCTTCTGAATCACCCCCAATTCTGCTGCTCCTCCTATTCCCCTTCCCTGACCTTCCGCTCCCCCGTCCCCATCCCTCACAGATTTATGCTGTGAGTGCGTGCCTATTGCATTCACCTGGTGCAATGTGATGCCACCTGTTCTCATCCAATGTTATTTTATTTGATCTGGCCAGGCTGTGTCAATCTTGCCACCTGGTCGCCCCACTCCTCTACCCACTTCCCTGTCGTCGTCCCTTCTGCCCTTCCCCGCTCCGCCCTACTCTCCCCTCCCTCCCCCCACCGACTCCCTCCCAGCTCTGCCCCATCGCCACCCCAGCACCCCTCTACCGCGCATCTCCCCTCCCACACCCCCCTTGCGGGCACCCAGTCGTTGTCAATGCGCTTCCAAGGGCCCACGCTGTCCCCCCCGACTTGCTCGCTCTCACCCTCTTACCCATTATCTTCCACCCTTTCCCCCACCTTCCCCCCACCCTTCCCCCCAACCCTCCCCAACATCCATGCCAGCTCTGCCCCGTCACCTCCTCAGCACCCCTCTGCCGCGCCCCTCCCCGCCTACAACCCCCCTGAGGGCGCGCAGTGGGTGTCTCTGCGCTCCCAGGGGCCAACGCTGCCCGCCTTTGATGCGGGGCTGCTGGCATACGCCAATGGGCTCATGGACTGGCACGGCCGGCAGGTGAGTGGGTTGAGTCGCACCCACCATTTGGTGGAGTCTGGATCTGGAGAGTGGTAGCATGTCAGTCAGTCACTGCTCACTGGGCTGCTGGACTGGCACTGCTGCCACATGACTGGGTTGACATGCGTCGTGCACTGTAGTCTCTCGAGTCAGGGAGTGGCCTCTGGGTCACTGCCTATGAAGTGGCCTGTGGCCCTCTTACTCTCTTCTCTTCCCTCTTTCTCACCCCCCTCTTACTCGCTCTCCCTGTCTTGTGTCTTTCTCTTGCTGCCATACCACCAGCGCTTCTGCTCGCAGTGTGCGGCGCCTCTCATCCAAGCAGAGGGGGGCTACGCCAGGCGCTGCACCAACTCCTTCCCCCCTCCTGCCCCGCCTGCTGCCGCCGTGCCTCCCGCCCCTGCTGCTGCTGGGCTGGTAACAGCAGCAGATAGCGGCAGCACAACACAGCCATCATCAACATCAGCACCACCATCGCCTGCTGGGAAGCCCAAGTGCTCCTCCTCCACCATCTTCCCCCGCCTTGTGAGTGTGTGCCTTGTGAGTGTGTGCCTTGTGAGTGTGTGCCTTGTGAGTGTGTGCCTTGTGAGTGTGTGCCTTGTGAGTGTGTGCCTTGTGAGTGTGTGCCTCGTGAGTGTGTGCCTCAGCCTTCTGAGTGTGCTTTCCAGGGGAGCGTCCGATGGGTGGGCCATGCTGTGCATCGTGGTGCCATGCTGTGCATCGTGGTGCCATGCTGTGCATCGTGGTGCCATGCTGTGCATCGTGGTGCCATGCCACGATGCCAGCCAATCAACATGCCAAGGTGGAGTAACGCCTCCACAGAGTGACCTGCTCACCACTCTGATGTTCTTCACCTCTTTCTCATCCCCTTCGTCTCCCCCCCCCCCCCCCCCTCCCTCCCCCCCCCATCCCCTCCCTTCCCCTCCCCTCCTCTTCCTTCTTCCCCCGTCTCCTCTCCTCCAATCCCCACCCCTCTACAACATGGCGCACAGGACCCGGCAGTGATCATGTGCGTCTCGTGGGGCGACTACGTGCTGCTGGGCCGGCAGGTGAGGCAGCGTGCTGCGTGCTTGCCCGGAATAGGCGGTGGCGTGGGTGGAAGGAGGGGTTGAGATGGGTGGAAGGAGGGGTTGAGATGGGTGGAAGGAGGGGTTGAGATGGGTGGAAGGAGGGGTTGAGATGGGTGGAAGGAGGGGTTGAGATGGGTGAAAGGAGGGGTTGAGATGGGTGGAAGGAGGGGTTGAGATGGGTGGAAGGAGGGGTTGAGATGGGTGGAAGGAGGGGTTGAGATGGGTGGAAGGAGGGGTTGAGATGGGTGGAAGGAGGGGTTGAGATGGGTGGAAGGAGGGGTTGAGATGGGTGGAAGGAGGGGTTGAGATGGGTGGAAGGAGGGGTTGAGATGGGTGGAAGGAGGGGTTGAGATGGGTGGAAGGAGGGGTTGAGATGGGTGGAAGGAGGGGTTGAGATGGGTGGAAGGAGGGGTTGAGATGGGTGGAAGGAGGGGTTGAGATGGGTGGAAGGAGGGGTTGAGATGGGTGGGAGGAGGGGTTGAGATGGGTGGAAAGGAGGGGTTGAGATGGGTGGAGGGAGGGGTTGAGACGGGTGGAAGGAGGGGTTGAGATGGGTGGAAGGAGGGGTTGAGATGGGTGGAAGGAGGGGTTGAGATGGGTGGAAAGGGGGGGTTGATTGAGATGGGTGGAATGAGGGGTTGAGATGGGTGGAATGAGGGGTTGAGATGGGTGGAAAGGGGGGGTTGAGATGGGTGGAAGGAGGGGTTGAGATGGGTGGAAGGAGGGGTTGAGATGGGTGGAAGGAGGGGTTGAGATGGGTGGAAGGAGGGGTTGAGATGGGTGAAAGGAGGGGTTGAGATGGGTGGAAGGAGGGGTTGAGATGGGTGGAAGGAGGGGTTGAGACGGGTGGAAGGAGGGGTTGAGATGGGTGGAAGGAGGGGTTGAGATGGGTGGGAAGGGGGGGTTGAGATGGGTGGAAGGAGGGGTTGAGATGGGTGGGAGGAGGGGTTGAGATGGGTGGAAGGAGGGGTTGAGATGGGTGGAAGGAGGGGTTGAGATGGGTGGAAAGAGGGGTTGAGATGGGTGGAAGGAGGGGTTGAGATGGGTGGATGGAGGGGTTGAGATGGGTGGAAGGAGGGGTTGAGATGGGTGGTAGGAGGGGTTGAGATGGGTGGAAAGGGGGGGTTGAGATGGGTGGAGTGGAAGGAGGGGTTGAGATGGGTGGAAGGAGGGGTTGAGATGGGTGGAAGGAGGGGTTGAGATGGGTGGAAGGAGGGGTTGAGATGGGTGGAAGGAGGGGTTGAGATGGGTGGAAGGAGGGGTTGAGATGGGTGGAAAGAGGGGTTGAGATGGGTGGAAGGAGGGGTTGAGATGGGTGGAAAGGGGGGGTTAAGATGGGTGGAAGGAGGGGTTGAGATGGGTGGATGGAGGGGCGGGATGGGTGGTAGGAGGAAGTGAGGATGGGTGCGTGTAAGTGGTTGCATCTTGCCATGGGTGGGATGGGATGCAATAAGATGGGTTGTGATGCACGAGGGGAGGCACACGGGTGGTGAAGACAGTTCATTCCTATATTTCACTCTCTTCCGCTCCTGTTCGCCCTTGCCCGTCCTCACCCGCCTCCCCTCCAACCCCTCCCTCCCCTCTTCACCCTCCCTCTCCCCTCTCCCTCTCCCTTCTCCTCCCCCCTCCTCATGTTCCCTCATGCTAGCTCCCCCAGGGGCGCTACTCCGTGGTGGCTGATTTCATTGAGGTTGTGGCGACATTTGGCCATGGTCCCTCCTTATGCTCCCTCTCCCCCCATCCTCCCCCCTCCTCTCTCCCACTCTCCTCCCCGTCCCCACTCTCCCTCCCCCTCCCCACTCTCCCTCCCCCTCCCCCTCTCTCCCTCCCCCTCCCCTCTCTCCCTCCCCCTCCCCTCTCTCCCTCCCCCTCCCCTCTCTCCCCACCCCTCCCCTCTCTCCCCCCCCCTCCTCCCAGTCGCGTTGGCCGCAGGGGCGCCATTCAGTGCTGGCGGGGTTCGTGGAGGTGGGGGAGGCGTTTGAGATGGCGGTGGTGCGCGAGGTGTGGGAGGAGGCCAGGGTGCACGTTGACCCCGACACTGTCAGGTGGGTATGCTGTGTTGTGAGCGTGGCTGCGTCCATGTTTCTTACGCAGTTGGAGCGTCGCAGTTGGCCCCTCCAATCCTCCTGCTTGCTCGCATTCTCAGCACTCGCGTTTCCATCTCCAAATGTGTCACTGTTTCCCTTCTCTCCCCAACCTCTCTTTCCCCAGATACCACGCCAGCCAGCCATGGCCCTTCCCCTCATCTCTCGTGCCCGCATTCACCTCTCGTGCGCCGCCCTCTCCAACCTCGTCCTCACGTCCCTTCTCTCTTTCCCCAGATACCATGCCAGCCAGCCGTGGCCATTCCCCTCCTCCCTCATGGTCGCCTTCACAGCGCAAGCCCTGCCATCTGGCCCACCAGCCATGGCACTGTCACAGCCGGACTACGGGCTGACGGGGGAGGAGAGGGGTGCGGCCCTGGTGCCGTGGCAGCAGCTGCCCGTGGTGCGCACCGACACCAACGAGCTGGAGGTGAGGCGCGGGTGGCATGGGCGTGGTGGCATGGGCGTGGTGGCATGGGCGTGGGTGGCATGGGCATGTGAGTGGGTCCAATGGTGGGCTACAGGCCTACTTACAGGGGAGGAGAGGGGCGCTCGCTGCACTGGTGCCATGGCAGCTGCTGCCTGTGATGTGCCTGTGATGTGCATGGATACGAATGAGTTGGAGCAGAGTTGGGCGTGCATGGGCGCGGGTTGCATAGCGTGTGGTGCCTTCCACCCCTCCACCCCTCCAAACATCCTGCTCTCCAACCTTCCAGCCATGGCCTTTTGAAGCCAGAGTATGGCCTGATGGGGAAAATGGAGCTGCTGCATACCCCTGTCCCTTCCCTCTGCCATGCCTCCCTCTCCCTCCCACTTCTGCACTTCAGGATGCACGCTGGTTCCATCGGGACTTCATTCGAGCGCTCCTCAACGACTCCTCCTGCAACACCTGGCTGCAGCAGCCGCCTGCTGGTGAGATGAGTCCAAGTGACGGTGGTGAGACGAATCTAACTAAGTGACGGTGGTGAGACGAATCTAACTAAGTGACGGTGGTGAGACGAATCTAACTAAGTGACGGTGGTGAGACGAATCTAACTAAGTGACGGTGGTGAGACGAATCTAACTAAGTGACGGTGGTGAGACGAATCTAACTAAGTGACGGTGGTGAGACGAATCTAACTGAGTGACGGTGGTGAGACGAATTTAACTAAGTGACGGTGGTGAGACGAATCTAACTAAGTGACGGTGGTGAGACGAATCTAACTAAGTGACGGTGGTGAGACGAATCTAACTAAGTGACGGCGGTGGTGAGACGTAAGACACTTTTGAGAACTCCCAGTGGCTTAAATATAAACTTCAATGGCAACATCTTCCTTGACTAGAACAAGAGTCAAATCTTGCCTCAATCCTAGGAGCCACCCGTGTCCATTGGTTGATCCACCACTGGCCGCGAGCCACCGTACCTGCCTATTCTCCCCTCCCCGTGGTCCCCTTCCCCTTCCTGTCCATCCCCCTTCCCATTGCCCAACCTCGTCTCTCCTCCCTTCCCCTCCCACATCCTACACGTCTCTTCCTCACAGCAGACGCCTCCCCAGCCCCCCCTGCACTGCCCGCACAGCCCACTGGCACCACGTGGGCCTTCCCCCCTCTCCCTTGCTCTGCTGTTGCCGTCCCTGGCCCCCATGCCATCGCCCACTCGCTGCTGGCGGGGTGGGCCAAGGGGGATGGGGGAGGGGTGGGTGGGGAGGGAGTGGAGGGGAAGGAGGGTGTGGAGGATAAGGACTGGCCCGGAGAAAGGGTGCCTGACGTGGATATTGACACAGGTGACGTGGATGTTGACACAGGTGACGTGGATATTGACACATGTGACGTGGATATTGACACAGGTGACGTGGATATTAACACAGGTGACGTGAATATTGACACAGGTGACCTGGGAGGATATCGCACAGCTGTCTTCAATATTGACATGCTTGGTTACCGTGCCACATGCTCTACATACACACCACCACAATGCCTTGCTCGCAGCACAGCACCCATGCTTGCTCCATCGTACACTTGCCTTCATCACGCCCTTTCTCCTACACGATAACATCCTGCCCATCTCACCCCTTGCACACCTCCCTGCCACCGCCTCCAGGCATCTTCAAGTATGTTCTCATTCGCCTCAAGTCGCCAGAGACTGGCCGTTCCAAGCTGGTACGCACTTGATGTCTTCCATCCTGATCCATCCCAAACCATCCTCAACCTTCCGAAACCCCAGTGATCATTGGTATTAAGCTGGTAACTAAATTTTCACAAAGCTGGTAACCAAGGCGAGGCCGAGAGGTGTTTGGTCATTCTTGCCTTTCACTCTTTAGTCAGGTGTAAGGGGGTGCAATCAAGAAAGAGTGAATGCAGCCATGGCGCACACATTGCGGTGCTGGCTGCAGGGACAGTAGCTAGTGTACCAGGGTGAACCCTGCAAATAAGCTGGCTTTCACAGCTCCTTCCTCCCATAGTCTTCCCTCTCCTCCGTTCCTCTTTCTTACTCCCTTCCTCCGCTCTCCTTGCTTCCTCCATCTCTTCCTTCCTCTCTTCCCCCACCTTGTGCGGGGGGACAAGAGGGCGCCCTTCCACAGCGATGTGCTGCAGCACACCGCACGCTTCATGGCGCCCCTGGGCCTCAAGGTACGCTCATGGCGCCCCTGGGGCTCAAGGTAGTGCCATTCAGGAAGTAAGATGTGGTGCGGTGCGGGTTCTCAAGTACTGAAGCAAGATACCGTTACTGAAGCAATATGACGTGGTACAGTCCCTGTGATAATGATACGGCCACATTCACCAGGGCATGTTTCTGGATTTGGAAGCTCTTCAATGCTCGCTTCATACGGGTAGCACCCCTGGCAACCAAGGTACGGGTATGTGTGCTGCTCCGGTGATGACACCCTGGCATGTGATACGTCCGCCCTGACAGTGTTCCAAGCTTCTTCCCAGTCTCCTGGGCTTACCAGCGTGCCCATCCACCCTCAGGACATGTCAAGTCAAGGGGTGCATGCACATGGGTGCGCATGATGTGATGGGACAGACTATGCCCCGGGCCCCAATGCAAGGCCTGCATGCACCGTGCCTAACTCGTGTTCTGCATGGGCAGGTGGAGGCTGTGGGTGGCGGTCGGATCAACCACGATGCTGCAAAGAAGCAAATCACCATTTATGGCTTTTCACAGGTGCGCTTGGTTCAATGCTGCTGCTCAAGTAGTGGGTACGCTAACTTCAGTTTTATTAAAACATTTGTTCTTACCTATGCTGCTTTGCTTCACTGCTTTCAGGCATTTGGTCGGGCTGACCACAAGGTAACAGCGGCCCTTGTGCGGCGGTGGTATCCTCTTCATAGCATTGCCACATCAAACCATGGTTACTGAACAAAGACTCTTACTCTTGTTAGTGTATAGGCGCTTGTGTATCAACTTGTCTAAGTTCCACTCCACTCTTTTCCCGTGGTCATCAGTACAGTATACATGATACATTCTATATTAGGGGTACATCCGCAACGCATCAAGCGGTACGTGCAAACAGAACATCGACGTGCAGATTGCATCCACACCACAGCCTTTAAACTACTTGGGTTGAGTTTGCTCCCACTTCCCACAGAGTGCGTTTTTTGTTATTTGCGTGAACCGCAACAATATAAGTGTTGACTGAAATCACGTCTGTTATCCCAACCCTAGCTACTTCCTTCTCGCTCATTGGGCCGAATTTCTTGGTTGACGTAAAACTGTAGCGCTTACTGTCAAAATGCATTTGTTATCTCTAGGCTGTAGTGGGGCATACTCTAAGGAGTACAACACATTAGGTCATTCCTAGTACTTGTACTCATGCTTGCCTACTAGTCAGTCATTCCTACGTTCTATTTCTAACATGGTATCGGAGCAGGTCCCTCCGTAGGACCGCTCCGTTAGGGCCCACCAACCGTACGTACTGCCCCAGGAGCTGCTGCCGTCGCGCGCTGCCCTGCTCGCCGCGCGCTGCTGCCCTGCCCTGCCCAGCGCTATCGCGCTGCCTTGCCCCGCGCTGCCCTGCCGCGCGCTGCCCTGCTGCCGCGCGTGCTGCGCTGCTGCCCGTACTGCCCTGCTCGCCGCGCGCTGCCCTGCTCGCCGCGCGCTGCCCTGCTCGCCGCGCGCTTCCCTGCTCGCCGCGCGCTGCCCTGCTCGCCGCGCGCTGCCATGCTCGCCGCGCGCTGCCCTGCTCGCCGCGCGCTGCCCTGCTCGCCGCGCGCGACCTGCGCCACGCACGCGCGCAGCTTGCGCCCTGCCCGCACGCGCGCTGCCCACGCGCGCTCTGCCCGCACGCGCGCTGCCTACGCGCGCCCTGCCCGCACGCGCGCTGCCCACGCGCGCTGCCTACGCGCGCCCTGCCCACGCGCGCTGCCTACGCGCGCTGCCCACGCGCGCTGCCTACGCGCGCCCTTTCCACACGCGCGCTGCCTACGCGCGCCCTGCCCTGCTGCCCGCGCCCTGCTGCCCTGCAGTCCGCGCGCAGCCCTGCCCTGCAGTCCGCACGCCGCGCTGCACTGCCCTGCTACCCACACGCCTTGCAGCCCGCGCGCCGCCCTGCCCTGCAGCCCGCGCGCCGCCCTGCCCTCCAGCCTGCGCGCTGACCTGCCCTGCAGCCCGTGCGCTGCCCTGCCACTACAGCGACTACCGCTACTGCTACAGCTGCAACTACAACGCTCGCTTCTGACGCCCTTGCGCCGCTGCTACTGACTGCCACTGCCTCTCATGGCCACTATCACAGTCGTAGCAGCGTCTGGTGGTGGACAGCAGCCGTGTCAGCCGGAGACTCTATCGCAGCAGCAGCTTCGCGAGTGGGTTATTCAGCGAGGCCGTCCTGGTGGTGGAGGTTATGGTTTCATGCGTGCTGGCGGTACTGGACAGCAGCGGCGGTCTTGTCGACAGGAGACTCTCTCGCCACAGCAACTTCGTGAGTGGGTTATTCAGCGAGGCTGTGCTGGTGGTGGAGGTTATGGTGCTAGAGGTACTGGACAGCAGCAGCAGCAGCGTCAGCAGGAGACCCTCTCACCGCAGCAGCCTCGCGAGTGGGCTTCTCAGCGATGCATCCCTGGTAGTGCAGAGGCTACTAGTCTAGGTGCTGCTGCTCTAGGTGCTAGTGAGTCTGCTGCCGCTCTAGGCGCTAGTGCGTCTGCTGCCACAGGTGCTAGTGAGTCTGCTACTAGTAAGTCTGCTGCCTCAGCTGAGGCCCTGCACACTTTCACACTTGACTCTGGTGCGTCTCGTTGCTTCTTTCGTGATTGCACCACAGTCACACCACTCGCTGCACCTGTCCCAGTCTCACTGACTGACCCCTCTGGGGGCCTCGTCGTCGCACGGGCCTCCACTGTCCTCCCGTGTCCGGCAGTCCCCTCCGGCTCTCTTTCAGGTCTCCACCTCCCCTCGTTCTCGACGAACTTGGTGAGCAACGCAGTCCTTCAGGATGTATGGGTTGATACCTTTACCCCTGGAGGGTAGCGTGTGGCGATCTGTACGTGCTCCCGGACTGGCCGTCACCTTGCTACGTTCACTCGGCAGCCTGGGTCCAGTCTGTACACTCTGACCCCTACATCTGCACAGGTGGCTGCGTCAGGTCAGGTAGCTGTGTCGAGTCAGGTGTCTGCGTCTGGTTAGTTTGCTGCGTCGTGCTCGTGTCAGGTACTCTCCCACTAGACTCTCCTCTGGCACCACCGACTCGGTCACCCCTCTCTGCCGCGTCTACGCAGCATGCACTCCCGTCTCATTGTCTCTGGCCTTCCCAGGTCCCTGCCCCCCCTCCCGCGCTCGCTTGCCCCGCCGTGCCTTCCCTGCGTCGAGGGGCGGCAGCGCGCCGCTCCCCACTCCTCGTTTTCTCTGACCACTGCTCGTCTGCGGACTCTCCACATGGACGTGTGGGGCCCCGCCCTCGTCCGTGGGATGGACCAGAAGTGCTACTTCGTGCTGGTCGTTGACGACTACACGCGCTACACCACGGTCTTCCCCTTGCGCAGCAAGGCGGACGTCCGCGGTGTTTTGATCCCCTGGATCCGCGCTACTCGTCACCAGCTACGCGAGCGGTTTCGGCATGACCTCCCAGTCCTGCGTCTGCACTCTGACAGGGGCGGTGAGTTCTCTTCCGGCCTCCTTGCGGAGTTCTGTCGAGACGAGGGCATCGTCCAGTCGTTCACGCTTCCGGCCTCTCCGCAACAAAATGGGATTGATGAGCGTTGCATTTGCTTGATCATGGAGGTTGCTCGTACCTCCATGATCCATGCGGCTGCTCCCCATTTTCTGTGGCCGTTTGCGGTCCGATACGCCGCGCATCAGCTCAACCTCTGGCCCCGTGTCTCTTTGCCAGAGACCTCGCCCACACTCCGTTGAACGGGAGAGGTTGGCGTTTCAGGTCTGAGGCGCGCTCTCCCTTGTTCGCAATACCACCGCGAGCAAGCTCTCTCCTCGCACTCTCCGCTGCGCCTTCCTGGGCTTCCCCACCGACGCCCCGCCGTGGCAGTTTTACCACCATGCCTCGCATTGAGTCCTGTCCTCCCAGGACGTCACCTTTGACGAGTCTGTCTCCTTCTACAAACTCCACCCGCGCGCGTCCCACCCGGTCCCCCTGACGCCTCTCTTCCTGGTACCAGTTCCCCCCCCGGTAGACCCCCTCCCCCCACAGGGTCTTGCTCACTCAGGTGTGTCTTAGGTAGACCCACCCCTCTTGGTTGAGCCTTTGGTGGTCTCCTCTGACACCTTTGGCCCGGCTGAGGGGGGTGACCCCGCCGCTGACGACACAGCGGCCACTCGTCGCTCTCCACGCTTGGAGACCCCTCCTTGTTTTCCGCATCAACCGTCTTCGCCGCCTCTGCAGCCTGTAGCTGTGGACACTGGTGCTGCTGGGGGTGGTGACACTAGGGGTGAGGACTCTGGAGGGGGTCCTGGGGGTGCTGAGACCGGGGGTGAGGGTTCTGGGGGTGCTGAGACTGGGGGTGAGGGTTCTGGGGGTGCTGACTCTGGGGGTGCTGCGAGTCCTAGTGGTGGTGGGGCCGTGGGTGCTCCTGCTGCAGGTCCTGGCGTTGGACAGCAGCAGCTGCCTAGTCGACTCATGACGCCCTCACCGCAGCAGCTTCGTGAGTGGGTCGTTCGGCGAGGCCGCCCTGGTGCTGGAGCTTGGAGTTTTACAGGTCCTGGAGCTGCTGGTGCTGGAGGTGCTGGGGGAGCTGGAGCTGCTGGCACTAGAGGTGCTGGTGCTGCTGGTGCTGGAGGCACTGGAGCTGGAGGTACTGGAGGTACTGGAGGTGCTGGAGCTGCTGGTTCTAGAGGTGCTCGTACTAGAGGTGCAGGAGCTGCCGGAGCTGGTGGTGCTGCTGGTGCTGGAGGTGCTGGAGGTGCTACTGGAGGTGCTGGGGGTGCTGGAGCTGCTGGCACTGGAGGTGCTGGTGCTGCTGGTGCTGGAGGTGCTGGAGGTGCTGCTGGTGCTGGAGGCGCTGGAGCTGGAGGTACTGGAGGTGCTGGAGCTGCTGGTCTTGGAGGTGCTCGTACTAGAGGTGCTGGAGCTGCTGGAGCTGGTGGTGCTGCTGGCGCTGGAGGTGCTACTGGAGGTGCTGGGGGTGCTGGAGCTGCTGGCACTGGAGGTGCTGGTGCTGCTGGTGCTGGAGGCGCTGGAGCTGGAGGTACTGGAGGTACTAGAGGTGCTGGAGCTACTGGTCCTGGAGGTGCTGGAGCTGCTGGCGGTACGGGTACTGCGCCGCGTCGACCGTTTTCTACCCGCAGCCGCAGTCGTCCCTGCCACCGCGTGACTCGGCCCTTCGCCAGGTTCTTAGTCTCCTGTCTTCCACTGGCCTCACTCCACCTCTACTGTGTCCACCGTCAGCCCCGTCTCAGACATAGTGGCCGTCTGGCTCCCCAGTGCCTGCTCCTTCTCCCTACACTGAGCTGCCAGACTCCCTGACTGAGCGTCGTGAGCCTGAGTCTCGTGCCTCCACACCTGTTCGTGCTCGTCGTGTCGCCCGTCCTCCTCCTCCTCCTGTCCCAGGCACTCACATTATGGCACTTCGTCCTTCCTCTGTTCCACAGCGTGTTGCCCTGCTGTCTCCTCCGGCGTCCTCTCTTCCTAACGTGCCTGACCCTGAGTCTGACCTTGCTCGTGCTGCCAGTCCTACTGTCACTCGTCTCCTCGCCACTGTCGTCACCGACCCTTCCTTTGAGTCTACAGCTGCGTTTTCCCTAGTCACTGAGCTAGTCGACTTTGCTGCTATGAGTTGTCTCGACTATGTCGCGAGTCTTGTTACTGAGTCTGAGTCTGTCTGTCCTCTGTCCGTGGGGGGTGAGCCTGCCCTTAGCAGTGACGTCCTTGAGGACAGACAGTTTGAGCTTGAGTGTCTTGCGGCCGCTTTACCTCGTTTCGCATCCATGCTACTTTGCCCTGAGGGAGACCAGGATGCACTTGACATCCCTACCCCGCGCTCTTACGCTGAGGCGATCGCGGGTGAGTACTCCTCT